CGCATTGCCGTCAGTAAGTCGGGCTCGTTTCCAGTGAGAGTTGGACTCCGCCAAGGCTGCCCTTTGTCAGCGATTCTGTTAATTACCTTCATAAACAGAATTTCTAGGTTCAGCCGAGGTGTTGAGGGGATCCGTTTTGGTGGCCTTAGGATCACATCTCTGCTTTTTGCGGATGATGTGGTCCTGTTGGCTTCATCGGAACGCAATCTGCAGCTCTCGCTGGAGCGGTTCGCGGCCGAGTGTGAAGCAGCCGGGATGAGGCTCAGTGCCTCCAAATCCGAGGCCATGGTCTTGAGACGGAAAAGGGTAGAGTGCCTTCTCTGGGTCAGGGGGATTGTCCTGCCTCAAGTGGAGGAGTTTAAGTAACTGGGGATCTTGTTCACGAATTGGGGAAGAAAGGAGCGGGAGATAGACAGGCAGATTGGCGCAGCATCTGCTGTAAAGCAGGCGCAGTACCGGTCCGTCGTGGTGTAGAGAGAGCTGAGTCAGAAAGCAAAGCTCTCGATTTACCGATCTAAGTTCCTACCCTCATCTATGGTCATGAGCTTTGGGTCATAACCGAAAGAACGAGGTCTCGGATACAAGCGGCCGAAATGGGTTTCCTCCGCAGGTTGGCAAGGCTCTCCCTTAGAGATAGGGTGAGAAGCTCGGTCATTCGGGAGGGACTCAAGAGTAGATCCTCTGTTCCTCCATGTCAAAAGGAACCAGTTGAGGTGGCTTGGGCATCTGGTAAGGATGCCTCCTGGACGCTTCCCTGGTGAGGTTTTCCGGGCACGTCACACCGGGAGGAGGCCCCGAGGAAGACCCAGGACACGCTGGAGGGACTCTCTCTCTGGGCTGGCCTGGGAACGCCTTGGAATTCCCCCGGAGGAGCTGGAAGAAGTGGCTGGGGAAAGGGAGGTCTGGGCCTCCCTTCTGAAGCTGCTGCCCCCACGACCAGACCCCGGATAGGCGGAAGAAAATGGATGGATGGATGAATTCGTCATTTATTTTATCTGGTGCTAAATATTCTGTTTTTATTTGTATATTAATCAGATTAATATATTTTTACATAAAATAAAATGACTTTTAAATCCCAGCATTTTTGATACAAAAACAGCAACAAGCCTAAATAAAACTGTCAGAGCAACACAATGAAAAAGACACACATACATCTTGCCATCTTTGTGAGGACTTCACACACACAACAACACTCACAGCATCTCTGCCTCAGTTTGCTGCTCCCATTTTTAACACCAGGCAAAAAATGCATTTAAACCGGCTGACTTTAACTTTAGATCACAGCTTGAAATGCACACTGAAGAGAACCAGCATCACGACTGCGGTCACAGTAAACGTGACGTAAGCAGTGTCTGGTTCACATGATGGTGGACGGCTGCGCTCGCTAAAATGTTCAACGAGAAAAGACCGAAAGCTTTTGTTATTTTAATCCAGCAGGGAGAATAGAGGCGTTTTTCTATGTCTCATGTGAGCAGCTCCAGCATTTTTAAAAAGAAAAACAACGCGGACACGCTGATTAGAGTGCGGTGCAAAAGTGAAAGTAAAMCATGTCGCAGCRCTCCCGTCTGGAAAAGAAATTTAAACACAGCTGTTCTCTCTTCCCTCATATTCCAACACAGAGGGTAGAAACAGCTAAATTAGACAGTTAAAAACACATTTATAGTTCATAACTCACCCTTGTTGTTGTTAGCACTCTGTCTCACAACATTTGCTGCTACGCTCTCCCTGGGGGAAGGGGCAGACACATGCGTTTGTGTGACCCAAAGAACGGATCGGCCGAACGGACAGCGTATTGGCCGATACAAGGAAAAAAACGCAAATATCGGCCAAAAATATCGGCCGGCCGATGTATCAGTYGACCCCTACTCAGTAGTGGCAGAAACATTACCGTCCGGCTCCTGAAATAGTGAATAGTGTAGTTCTTACAGCCCAGCCTGTGGTTTCCTATAGGGATGGGTACCTTTGACATTTGAATTGATCCGGTACCAATTTTCGGTACTTTGTGTGTGTTGTTTTTTTAATAATAAACTTTTATTTTTTAACATATTTCTCAAATAAAATTAGCAAATATCAAGACAACATCCAACTCTATGTATTGTAACATCACTTGTGTAACTTACTTCTTTAAAGTGAAAACACTTGAAAACTACTAATGCAGTGTTTTGTCTTTTTCCACAAATTAAAATCCAGCTCCACGTGTTTCTATTGATGTCATTTCCCCGCTAGAAAAAGTGTGTGCTGGAGGTCCATGAAAGTCAATTAAGTTTAAAGCAAATAAGAAAAAGGGGATTGAGTTAAAATAAATAAAAGCAATGTTTTGAGCATCCAAAATGCCTCTTAACGCTTCAAGCTGGCAGCTTGTGCTCTTTCAGGTCAGACATGTTCGGACTGTCGGCAAGGGCCTCTGTTTTCCTCTGCCGTCTCTGTTTGATGGCGGATGAAAAAAAGAAAGTGGCGGTACTTCAT